CACAGGCGCAGTGCCCGGCACGGGCCCCGCAAGCCCCACACCACCTTCTGTAGCTACGTTCTTTTGCTTAGCATGCTCTTTTCGTGATTCTTTCATGTTGTAGCATGGATCAGTGTTTTATTCCTTTTTATTGCAAGCTGGGTTCTTTTATTTGTTATTCCATCTAGTTCCCATTTCTCAGATGAGTTAAGTAAACTCAGAGAGAGCTAGTGACTTGTCTGAAGTCACACAGCAAGTCAGTTGAAGGAGACTAGGCTAGAGCCTGCGCACTGACACCTGGCCTGAGAGTCTATCTGATCTCAGGGAAGAGAGTGGGTGGGGGGCCAGAGGAAGCAGGACCTGGGGGCAGCGAGGGCCTGGCAGCTGGGGGTCCTGGGAGGGAGGGGGAGTTGGAAAGTGGGCCGGGTGCCTTCCCAGGACATCAGCATGGGAGCAGATCCTGCAGCTTCGCAACAGGCCCTCACTGCATCTCAGGCCTGGGCTCCGGGAAGACCCTTCCCTGTGCAAAGAGGAGTGCCAGGTGGGGGCCATAAATTCAGACAGAAAGTGGGACTTTGGGCTGAGGGGGGCCCTTGAACATCAGGCTCAGAGGTAGGGGCTCCCTCCGGTCTCAAAGCTGGCAGGGGATTTATTGAGAACTTGGCTGATACCCTGAAAGGTGACTTGGAGAAATCAGTTGATCCTAAGTAGTAATGCCATCGCCCTGCCAGCGTGATGGGGGAGGGGAGAGAGTCTGGTCTCTGGGACCTTGTCCAAATGCCCAGTGTATGAGCAGCACATCTCTGATAGAACTTCCAGGCCTCCCCAGATGTATCATCCGGAAAGCTCCAGTGCCTCACCCTCTTGCTGCTCTGTGCTGGCCACTGGGGATGTAGGAATAACGCAGGCCACCCCATGGCGGGGTATGGACACATCCACACTACTCGCACAGGACGCCCAGAAGGATTAGAGATGCCCAGGGCTACGGGAGGCTGAGGGGTGCTCTAACTGAACCTGGGGCTCAGGGGCGGCTCCCTGGAGGAGGTAGCATCTGAGCTGAGATTCGAAGGGTCAGGGCGTGTTGACCAGGTGAAGGGACAGCAAGTTCTGGAGTGGTGAGGATGGAGGAGCTGGAGAGGCCAGACCCTGGTCATGTGCCCGTTAAACAGCGTGCGCTGGCTGCAGAACAGCGCTTGGATTGGTGGGCAGTGTCCTGCCCCCCGAGGACAGCAGCCAACAGAGTGGTGAGAAGAGGGCTTTGAGGGATATGAGAAGTAGGTTGGGGTGGCAAGGAGGTCAGTGAGGCGGTACTGGGTCTGCAGGACCTGGGTGTCATCCCCCAAGGCAGCCGGGAGCCTGCAATCTCCATGGAGAGGCAGAGATTGGGTGGCCCTGGCTGCACCTGGTTACTGAAGCCCTGGGAGTGGACAAGATGGCCCAGGAAAGTATGAAAAGAAGAGACAAGAGGCTTGCCTCCCAAAGATGCCCCCAAACTTATGAATAGTGTGAAAATTTACCTCCAGAGAGGCAGTTCCAAGAGCGAAAATCAGCTGAGTGCTGGGCTGAGGCCCGGTGCAGGCAGTTCTACTTCCCTTTTTCCCAGATCTGAAATAGAATTTCCATTCCTAGGGATTGTGTCGCTCAGCTGTGGGGGTGGGTGAGCGGGGAAGGGCAGAGGACACATGGGAACAAGTCCCAGGGTGGGGAGTCCTGGGAAAGGGGTGCGAGGGCAGGGAAACCTGGGTGGGGGCTTCTGCTTACCGGAGGCCAACCTGTAGTACCTCCATCGCGCAGCCGTGTGCCCTCCTGGCACCCTCACAATCTGGCCTCCTCTAGAAGCCTAGGCAAAGGCTTTATCCCATTTTACAGATTCCGAAAGCAAGGTTCAGGGAAGAGCCCTGAGAGGCCTCCGCACAGAGCAAGTCAGGGCTGACACAGGATGAATCCAGGCCTCTTTCTATTTATCAGCTGCTTCCACCCTTCCTGGGGAGGTGGGGGTGGATGTGGTGGTCGACCTGACAGTAGAAGCCCTAATCTAGGGATGCATAGGGTGAGATCTGGGTGAAGAAAGCTGGGAGCTTCTCCCCACGGCTCCCCAGGCCTCCCAACCCCATTGGAGCTAAGCCGAGCCCAACAGCATCCCCATCCCTCACTGTCCCCCAAGCCCTGCGCTTGGCTTGACTCAGAGATTCCCCGCAGCTGCACCATATTCCACGTGGCTCCCTAGGGAACTGCAGGCACAGAGGCTGCAGCAGACAATTCCCAGCAATTAGGAGACACTGGGTCAGTCGATATTCTCAGCAAGCCCCTAATGCGTCTCTCTCCTCAGACTGGGGGCTGTAATCCCTGTGCTGAGGTTAGCATTGGGTGGGAGTGGCGGGGGCGGGGGTAGGCAGAGGCCCCGAATGAGGCCCAGAGAGAGAGCAGTGGGTGGGCCTGAAGCCCCATTTGCCCCTATGGTGCCACCCCTGGGCACTTAGAAGGAGGCATCTTAGGAGCTCATCTCGCTTGCCTCTGCCCAGTGCTGCCTTTGGGAAGCGTGCCCTGACCCTCTCCACCCTGTGCTAAGTGCCCACGGCCTCCCTTTACTCTCTCCACCGAACACGGAAGTTATGAGCCATTCGAGCCCAGTGGCTGCAGGGGACAGCAACCTTTCCCTCTAAAGGGGCAGGAAGCATTTTAGGCTTTGTGGACCATGTGGGTTCTGTCCCAAATACTCAACTCTGCAGTTGCCGTTAAAGCTGCCATAGACGATGCATAAACGGATGACGTGCCTGTGTCTCTGTGAAACTTTATTTATGGACCCACTGAAATTTGACTCTCATATAATTTTCATGTGTCACAAATGTGTTCTTGTTTTGATTTTTCCCCATTCTTAGCTTGTGGGCTGTACAAGAATAGGTGGCCGGCCGGATATGGCCCATGAGTTAGCATTTGCCAACTCCTGGGTTAAAGCAAGGCCGCTGGAGCCAGACTGCCTGGCTGTGCTGGGCCACCTACAGCGAATGGCTAAGCCTTTCTATGCTTCAGATTCCTCGCCTGTAAAATGGGGGTGGTAGCGATAATACTTAGGGCGTGTAAAACGGTGCTGCCACTTCAGGAGACAGCTTTTGGCAGTTCTTCAAAAGGTTAAACTATATGACCCAGCCATTCCATTCCAAAGTATGGACCCAAGAGTAGTGAAAACATGTTCACACAGAAACTTGTTCACAGCACTGTTACTGATAACAACCAAAAAAAGGTAACAACCCAAATGCCCATCAACTGGTGTATGGGTAAAAGGTGTATCTATACAACTGAATAATATTCAGCTCTAAAAGAGAATGTAGGGCTGGTTTATATTACAAGATGGATGGACCTTGAAAACATTGTGTTAAGTAAAAGAAGCTAGTCACAAAAGACCATATATTGTATGATTCCTTTTATATGAAAGGTCCAGGCTAGACCCGCAAATAGAGACAGAAAGTAGAGCAGTGGCTGTCGGGGCTTGGGCGGGAATGGGGTCGGCAGCGGGTGGCGGTGACTGCCAGCGAGTAGGGAGCTTTTCGTGGGCTGATGAAAATGCTTTGGGATTAGGAAATGGTGATGTGTGCACTACTCAGTGACTATCTTAAAAAATGAATATGCTAAATAATGAATTGTACACTTTAAAGGGGTGAATTTTGTGGTGCGTGAATTATATCTCCATAAAAAAAATGATACTACTTACCCCACAGACTGTTGTTAGTGTCAGTGTACGGACGGCACTTGGAATGGCGCCTAGAGCGTAGTGAGGGCCTGCTCCTGCCCCTCACTGGTCCTGGAGGGCCCTGCGGGGGTCACTGTGTCTGTCCTGCTCACATTGTCTCCAGAGCCTAGAACAGGGTCTGGTACAGAACAAGTGGCTTCAAATTCTGGAGACCCATAGACCAGGAGCTGAGTCCTGACTCCTTGGGTAAATCATTTTGCTGCTCTGAGCCCCAGGCTCCTCATCTGTAAAATGGGACAATAGTAATAGTGGTGTTGAGGATCAGATGATGCCTGACATCAGGGTGCGTGAGGTGCCCAAGCCAATGGCCACTGGCCAAACGTGTCCAATTCTGAGCCCCAGCAGGTATCTCCAGGGCCCCAAGCAGGGCTGAGGCCATTGCTTCTGGTGGCAGCAACTCAACCCACAAGACACTGCCCATTGTTCTACCAACCTCCCATGGCCCCACCGGGCCGGGTCTCCCTGAGCCTGAAGGAATGAACACTGCGGCACCAGAGCAGATTCCCGGATTGCCCGCACCCAGCCCTGTGTCCAAGGCCGGGCACTGCGCTTTTCGCTCTCTGAACCTCCGTTTGTTCAATTGTCAAATGCATTTAGGACACTGTAGCTGCCCCCTCTTGATAGTGAGATGGAACAACGGTTATAAAGTGTCCTCACAGTGCCTGGAGTATTTTAAGTGCTCTGTACATGGCAGCTTTTATGAGAATTTATTTTAACATATTTATTTGGGAAGTTCTGTGTGCTAGACACTGTGCTAGGTACTGGGGATACAGCAGAGAATCAGAGACAAAATCCTTGCCTATATGAAACTGACATCATAGTGGGATGGGCAGACAAGAAACAAAATAAGTAAAGTATGTTTGAGAACATCATGGAGAAAATAAAGCAGAGAATGGCTGAGAGAGGGTGGGAGGGAGCTGCAGTTTTGTGAGAGGTCTGGTTGAGACAGACATTTGAGCAAAGACCTGAGGAGAGGAGGGGAAGGAGGGAACCATGCGGGGTTTTTAGGGGAGAGCCTCCCACACAGAGAAAGAAGCAGCAGTGTGGCGGGAAGGGTGGCTCGGGGGAAGGTGGGGCGAGGGTAGGGATGAGATCGGGGAACCGCCCTGGGGAATCTGGGGGGTGGGCCTCTGACTCCAAGTGGGCCTGGGACCCCCTGTAGGGGTTTGTGCAGAGGCCGACCTGCCCTGGCCTAGGCTGTAGAGACTTTTGCTGTGTCTCGGGCTGACTCCCACCCTTCCCCTGCCTCACAGCCCTGTGCTTTCTCCCGCAGGACCAGCCTGGGGCCCCCATGGGCTCCTGAGGGCCGGGCACCAGGGCCGTGGGCACGAGCATGGTAAGACACCAGCCCCTGCAGTACTATGAGCCCCAGCTCTGCCTCTCCTGCCTCACGGGCATCTACGGCTGCCGCTGGAAACGCTACCAGCGCTCCCACGATGACACCACACCGGTGAGCCACCCTGGGACCTAGTGACAAGGACCCAGGGGCACCAGAGTCTTGGGGGGGGGGTGCCAACTCTGTCACTCTGCTATGTGGCTTTGGGCTGGTCAGTGCCCTTTCTGGGTTTCAGTTTTCCTTCTATAAAATGGGCCCATGGTAATTCTTGAATCTGCCTGACCAGACGGGTAAGGCCCTTCTGTCGTGGGTGTAGCCAGATGTTAACACCCCTCTGACATGGGGGCTGGGCCGCCCCGGGGCCTGGGCAGGGAGGGGTGCTGGGGGGGGGGGGGAAGGAGTGATCACCCCAAGGTGAACAGAAGTTCTCAGCTTCCAGGCAGATCTGGATGGGCAGGTGTGCAGGTGGGGCGGCTGGAGGGCAGGCTGAGGAGGTGGGCCAGGCCATCTGGAGCCTGGGAGCTGGCAGGGCTATGGCCTGGCACCAGGGCCCTGTCACCTGAGCCACAGGCCCGCCAGAGCTGGCAACAGGTGCCCAGTCAGATAAAGAAAGCCGCCTTCAGTATCAGCTCCCCAGGCCAGACTCCGAGTGGCACTTCATCCCTGGGCACTGTCAGCCGCTGAATCTAGTTTCTTTTCCAAAGGAACCCAATTCCTTTAAGAGGGAATGGAGAAAGAAAGATAAACTGTGTTTATCTAAAAGCTTTGCTGCTTGAAAAACAACTTTCCTCTTCCCTTCTCATCTGAACAAAGAAGCCAGCCTCCAAATGCAGCTTGCCCCAAAGCAGGCAGAGTGGCCAAGGGAAGGGATGGCTTCTAAGGTCAGAGGGCAGGCGTCACAGGGCTGTCTGGATGGGGAGGTTGGGGAAGCTTGTCCCCTTTTTGATCTCCTTCTCTGCCTGTGATAGTGAGGGACAGAGTGCTGGACTAAGCAGGAGCCTAGGCACCTGGCCTGATTCCTTGCCATGTTCCCGCTCCCAGAACTGAGGAGGCCACATGCCAAACTTAGGTAAGGGAGAGGAAGGAGCCGGTCCAAGGCCACAGAGCAGGTCCCTGCACGGCTGGGACGGCAGCCCTGGTCCCTCTGCCCCAGGCCCTGTCTGGGACAGCCTTTCCATCTTATGTGGGCACAGGGTCTCCCCCACAGTAGTATAGCCTGTGATTCCGGAGTCAGGCGGACCTCAAGATCAAAATTGTGCCACTTCTAGTTGTACTGTTGACATAAGAAACGTCCAAACCTGTAGAGAATTTTAATATGATTTTAATTGAGCCAATCTGATGACAATGCTGGGAAGCGAGGTCTCAAGTGCTCTGGAGAATGACAGTTTTGCAGTTCCTTTTATGTGTTTGGATTCAGGAGGAAAGACTACATGAAAGTGGGAGAAAGCAAGGTGGGGCGTGACTGCAGGATAGTCAACAAGATTATGTGCCCCCTCAAGGTTAGTTCTGCATCCCAGGCATCTGAAAAAGAGGTGCTGCAAAAGTGTCAGCAGAGCTGCACAGAAACGATGGACAGGGCTTGTTTAAGACAACCTTCAGTTATAGGCCTGGGGTGTGACTACTCACCGTGTCCTGCCCAGATAGGAATTTATGATCAGATCGCCCTGTGAGGTTACTTTCAGTTAGATTTATCACAATGCCCCTTTTCTGTCCACAGTATGTACTTGACTTTGAGCTTTCTCACCTGTGAAATAGCACACGTGCCTCTCAAGGAGCTGCTGGGTGGATGGCATGCAATAACGACATGAAGCGACCAGCACAGTGCTAGCTATGACTAGTCACTAAGACCAGTCATTCCTGAGTCACATGCCTCGGCCTCTCCATCTCTGAAGCGGAAGGGGGGCTGGGTAAAGACTTTGGAATTCCTTGGCCGTTTTGCTTTGCTCTGAGCTCCATTCTCTGCAGAGACTGGGGCCAGGCAGCAGGGCCTCCCTGTGTCAGGAGCGGCAGGCAGCAGGGCAGCAGTCAGCCTGCACCCCGTGCGTCTTGCACCCTCCACTGTGCTGAGCACTGACGCACACCTGTGAGCCGGGTGTCATGGCCAACATTCTACAGTGGGAAACAGAATCTGGTTGTCTGTGATGGGGACCAGGTCACACCGCCAGTAAAGCATAGCACCCAGATCTGGTCCCAGGCAGTGTAGGTCCAAAAGCTCTTGGTGAGGTACGGAAACAGCTGAAGCTAAGGAAGGGGGAGAAGAACGGCTGAGCTTCCAAGGCAGAAGCCCCTTGGCTGTTGGAGTAGACCCTGGAGGAAGGTGTATCTCCCAGGACACTCACAGCTTCGGTGGGCCCAGGGCCTGCCAGTCACCAGCTGTGGAGCCAGGAAGTGATGGGTCCTGGCTGTGGCCAGCACAGGGCCCGGAGTGGAGGAAGTGGTGGGCTGAGGCTGGTTTTGAACTGACTGGGAGCCCGCGCGGGCACAGGCTCTGCAAATGCTAAGGTCTGGGTCCCAGGTAGGGGGTAAAAGCAGGAAGGACCTCAGGAAGTCACAAGCTGGCTTTGCTGGGAGAGGGGACCGGGTTTTGCAGCAGCTCTAGGGGGTGGCCTCTGCAGAGAGGGCTGGGCTCACCTCAGGTGACCCTGAGACTCCCAGCGAAAGATGAGCATCCTCCGCCTTCCCTGTCACTCACTCCCCGCCTGCTTCCCCTCCCACTTCCTGGGCTCCAGCCTCAGCATGCTCACCCTTTTTCGCACTCTCTCTCCTCTCTTTTTTCTCTCCCTCTCCCTCGGAGACAGCTGGGTGAGGATGGTGATAGGGTGCTGGGCTCTCTGGCCTGACACAGTGAAGGGAACAGCCATCTGGTGTCTCAGAGTCAGGGCTGGTGCAAAGAAGGTGCTCCATACATTTTGCTGAACAAATTGAGGCCCCCCAGTGAGCTCTGGGAGCAGTTAGGTGGGGAACGGAGAGCCGCTAGGGCTGGGGTGGAGGAGGGGCCTCGGCAGAGGGTGGGGTCCAACTTGGGGCCTGTGCCTCTCCTCATCCCGCCTTCCTGTCCTCCTTTAGGGACCCCCTGCACTGCCCCTGCCCAGGCACTGCCTCCCCTCAGGTCCTCTTGTGGAGCACCCCCTGCGTCTCTCAACTCAGAGAAGCCTGGGGTCAAGTTCTTCTGTGAAGCTGGCCCCTCTGGGCCCCTTCTGTGAAGTGAGGTGACAGAGGGGTGGTGAGTCACAGAAGCAGTTCCCTCCCAGCAGGCTGGGAGATGACGTGTGAGAGTAGCGGTTAACATTTATTGAGTACCTGTTGTATTCAGGGAGCATATGGCTTACATGCATTGCCCTGTTAGCTGAGGTAACACACCTGTGGGCATGTTTCATTGTTATGCCCCTTCATGGAGAGAGAATTCAAGGCTGAAGCCCTGTCACACCTGGAGTCCGGGACAGATCTGTGCCTCAGAAAGAGGGAGGCCAGCAGAGGAGTCATGTGTTTTGAGCCTGAGTGTTTTTGTCAGGAGGGCTTGCAAGACAGAGAAGAAAGGAAAGGCGGGGAGGACTTGGGAAGTTGTCTGATGGAGGAGAAAGCAGTGGACAAGAAGCGTTTGGGACAAGAGGGGGAGTGTCCCAGGGCACACTAGGGGCGCTCTGTGTCTCCCGGGCTGGGACCTGGCCCTGCAGCCCTGGGGAGGGTCCTGGGGAGGGCGGAGGACGGAGGGCAGGCAGAGACCTTGAGAAGGTGCCCCTCCTCGCCATCTGTCCGAGCTGGCCTCCTTCCTTCCTGCCTCAAGCCTTTGCTCACTCTGTCCCCTTCCCCCAGGACCCACACTTGACACATAAGGAAACAGGGAACTGAGGACTGGAGAGGTGAAATGACCTGTTCTTCTGCCCTCAGCCCAGGGAGTGGAGGAGTCTGGCAGGAGGAGGCCGGCTCCCTCGACATCTAGGAAGGGGAAGCAACGCTTTTTATAACCGGGGGTAATTAATTGGTTGTTGTGTGTGACTCATTACTCTCGTGCTGCCAATTAAGGCCTTGGTAGGACAGAAGGCAGTCCTCAGGCCGGCCCCTCAGACCCCCTGAAGGCTGTGCTGCTGTGGGAGGCAGCGCAGTGCCAAAACCAGCTTTTCTGTAGCAAGAGGGATATAGGTCAGTTGCCTGGAAGAACTTCCCAGCCCAGCACACTGAAGGAGATAGGGCCGGTCAATTCTCATGCACGGCAAGAATGAGCTTGCCTTTAAAAGGCTGTTTTGAGCTTGTTTGACCCCTTCCATGTTACGAATGGAGCTCCAGGAAGAGTAAGTGCTTTATGCGAGCCGAGATGTTGAAGGCACAACCTGCGTTGCCCCTGTGGGCGCCCTCTCCCCAGTTCCACACCAGCCTTGTCTAGGAGGCACTGGTTACTTAGTCAATCAGCAAGCCTTTCATGATCCCTGCTGTTGGCCCAGAGGTCACAGGTATATCAGACCTGGTCCCCCTTCCTTGAAGGGCTCCTAGGCAGGCAGGGGAGCAGACAAACAAGAGCTGACACACCCAGACCACCAGGTGATCACTGCTGAGGCCAGGACACCCCGGCAGGGAAGCTGCCGCAGCTGCTGTCGGAGAGAGTTAACACCCTCATGCCAGAGGGGGAAAGTGCTCCGGGCAGGGAGCTGTGCGTGCAGGGTCCTGTGCTTGGGAACTGAAAGCAGCTGAGCCCCAGCGAGGCTCCGGGCTTTGGGTGAGGAGGGGAGGGTGCTCTTCAACAGACTGGCTGTGGAAGAGGTTGAGAGTCTCTCATGGTGCTTCCTGTCACCCTGTGATTTCCAGCCTGGTTGGATGCGGCCACCCTGCCGTGCCCAGGGGTAAGTGACAGGGAGAGTGGCCTCAGTGGAGTTCAGGAATAGTGCAGTGGGGGTGGGTGGAACACAGACAAAATAAAACTCTGCTCCCCCGATTGCCTACCTCCCAGGATGGGAGCAGTAAGATACCCGCTGTGGGGAAATCCACCAGCACCGCCCCCCCACACACCCCCACGCGCCACTGCAGCCATCCCAGCATCACCTCGCCCTTTCACCGCACCCTGCGGTGGCGCAGGCCATCCGCTGCCTGGAATTCTCTTTGTCTCTGCCTCTCAAGGTTGG